AAAAAAAAAAAGATAGCAAGGAAAGTACCTCACTGCAGCAGGTCGTTTTATTGTCGTTAGTCTGTTGGAAGAGGACACTACTATTGCAAAGGGGGTAGTGTGCGTGTGTGTGTGTGTGTGTGTGTGTGTGCACACGTGCACGCCTGGCCAAGAGAAAAAAGAAAAGAGAGAGAGAAGGAAAGAGACTTTATAAGGTTTTCCTTCCCTGGTTGGACAGGGTTCTCCCTGGCTGCTCCCAGAGATGGGGATCCAGAGGCCTGAAGAAAGAGGACGCTGGCCTAAGTGACTGCCCCCAACTGTATTAGATCTCAGGCCTTCAGCCACCTCCCCTACTGCCCCCCACACGCTCACACTCCTACACACACCACATTCTCTTACACGCAAAACACGCAGCATCACACTACACACTCTCATCCACACTACACAGCCTCACACAGATTACAGTGATGTGTTCACTCCAGCAAGAGCTGGTTGTGTGTGGTGCTTCCCAACCCCGAGTTCATTGGTGCAGTGGGAGTACTTATCCCATGGAAACCAGCACATGCTACTGAGCAAGCCCCCTCCCCAGAGCTGGCTGTGGAGCATTTTCCAGCCCACCATGGCTCCAGTCACTCACACTTCACACACACACACACGGCCAGGAATCCCATTTAGAAGCATCCCCAAAGATCATAAAGTCCAGCCCCCCTCCATCACAAGGATGCCCCTCCAAGCCCCTCTTCCAGTTGGTCAGCTCTACCCACAATATTTCCCTTCCCAGGGAGCCCAACACCCCACTCCACTCCCTTTAGAAAGTGCTCTGCTTCACACCTGGTGTCATGCAAAGGCACAGGCCAGACTTCAGTTCAACCCAGGCTCTAGCATTCGGGCAGGTCACAACCTCGCCAAACCTCATTTTCCCACCATACCTCAAGGATGAAACATGATAATGTCCGTAAAAGTCCAGCACATGATAGGAGCTTTATGAATATTAAAATGTACGTATAGAAGCTCCACCTCCCCAAGCCCCAGAAATGGAGCTTCAGGCATGAGCACCAAGCGTGCGGACACCAGCATCCTGAGCAAACCTGACACTGTCCCGCTGTCCACCCCCCACACAGTGGTCAAAATGCGCATCAAGGAGATGAAGATAGAGAACGGGGACCGGAAGCTGATTGGAGCCCAGAAAAAGAAGAAGCTGCTCAAGCCGGGCCCCTTGAAGCGCAAGGACACCAAGAGGCTGGTGCTGCACATGAAGAACAGCGCCGGCTGCCCCTGCCCGCAGCTGGACAGCCTGACCGGCAGCTTCCTGGTCATGGGCCGCAAAGTGGACGGACAGCTGCTGCTCATGGCTGTCTACCGCTGGGACAAGAAGAACAAGGAGATGAAGTTCGCAGTCAAGTTCATGTTCTCCTACCCCTGCTCCCTCTACTACCCCTTCTTCTACGGGGCAGCAGAGCCCCACTGAAGGGCGCTCCTCCCTGCCCCACCCAGCCAGCTGTGCCTTGCCCTCTGTCCCCGCCCCTGGGGCATACTCACTCCTCCTGCCCACCTGGCCTTCCCGACTCCCAGGCTGACCCAGGCCCTGCCAGAGAGTGGTTCTTGCAGAGCTGTTACTGGCACAGGCCCTAAGGGATGGGCATCTAACCGGGCTGTCCTTGACCGAGGTTCTGGGGTCCTTGGAGGATTCCTCCCGTAGGAGCAGGGCTTTCTCATTTGGGGGGAAACCCCAGGGTCTCAGAAAGTAGGCAGAGGAAAGAGAGAGCAAGGGAAGGGTGGAGGGGCTCTGAGCAGCCCGTATAGACAGCGGTGTCAGCTCCCCTCTCTTGGCGGTGGGGACTTGCCTGGGAAAGTCTTGGAATTAGGCTGAGCTCCTTGGGGGAAAGTTCTCAGCCTCCACTGCCCCTTCATGTGTCCTCATCATAGACCCCCAAAGGAAAGGCGTTGGGGTCACAGTGCCCTCCAGCCATACCTCCCCACCTTCCCTGTCTCTGCCTGTTTCCCTTCCCGCTGGCCTGGGGAGAAGCCCTGCCCAACCGCCTCTCAGAGGCTCACCCCTCTGCCTCTGCATGTCCCTTTTATCCTGATGACCAGTAAATTATTGCTACTGCTTCAAGGCCATAGGTACTAGACTAATGCAGGTAGGGTTTGGTTTTCTATTTTTTTTTAAGTTTTTAATTAAATCAAAGAAAACAAATAGTTGGTTTTGACCAGGTGATTTTTTTTTTTGTCAGCTGGTGCCCTGGAGTAGGGGGCATAGGGAGGTTTGGAGGGGACTTTGAGAAAGAGGCCCTTCTGTTACCCACTGCCTGTCCACAGACATACTTGGAGTGCCTAAAAAGAGCAATGTCTGTTTTTGCAGAATCCCCCGAGAACAGATAGTAAGGGTCGCTCTTTTCATCCCCATGGTGGGACTAAGTGAGTGATGGAGGTGAGTGTCCTTTTGTCTCAGAGGAAGGACACAGATGCCAAGATCCCCAGCCTTCTCCCACAGTCAGAAGGTTCCCACGGTCCTCCAGCATCTCCCCGACTCAAGCAGTGCCTGCACCAAGGAGCCCAAGAAGGCTGGGCCACAGGGAGCTAGAGCCACAGGCCTAAACATGTCACTCTTTCAGCACTCAGACACCCCTGGGCACCGGGCCTGTAGGAGATGATGGTGTGGACAAGTGCCACTCTAGTCGGGGTCCCTGGACCACAGCATCAGCATCACTTAGGAGCTGGTTAGAAATGACACTCAGGCCCCACCCTAGACCTGCAGTATCAGAATCTGCACTTTAACACATAAACCTGCAGATCATCCAGGGAGATTTTACATAATACTGGGCCCTACTCTAAGGCAATTACATCCGAACCTCTGGAGGGTGCATTCCTAGATGCCCCCTGGGGTTTTCCGTAGCTGGGGTTGAGAACCTCCATCTAGATAAGCCAACAGCTGAGGCAGGAGGAGGGTGAGGGGCTGAGGTTACCTCAGGCTGGAAGGGTCTGGGTCCTGCATAGAAGGTCGGGACCAGCTCTAATGCCTGAGAGGCTTCTTCAGTGACTCCAAGCAGATGGAGGCTGCCACCTCAAACTGGATGGGGCAGCGAGTGGAGGCAGCTTGAAATGGACGTGACAGGCTGCTGCCACTCATATGTCCAAAATTTGGGAGGAATGGTGCCAAGAATGAGTCCCTGGGGGCACGGTTGGCCAATGCTGAGGGACACGGCAGATGTACCCAGAGCAGGGGCTGGAGACACCCCGAGGGCTTTCCTCACCGGTGGGGGTCCAGCTGGGATGCCAAGTCCAGTCAAGGCCTGCTGCTCCTCCAAGACAATGGAGCCGCGTTCTCTTGCTTCCGTGGCACTCAGAGGAGCGTGCTGCCACAGAGAAACGAGGGGCCAGTGTGGGCTAGCAGGTGGTCTGACAGCCTGCCTGTAAATCACCTCCCTGGGCAGTCAGGTGGCCCCACCACAGGTCAGCAGTGGCAGAGGCCTGCTTGTTTCTCCTCACCTCTGAGGAAGCCGCAGCCACCCACCCTCGCCCAAAGCCTGCCCAGCCCACCTGGCTCCCTGAATCCACCCCTTGTCTCTCAGCCTCCTACCCCAACCAAATATTTATGGACACTTCTATGGTCAACCAGGACCAGGGATTATTTTTCCACTGAACACACAGGACTCGGGCTGCTTCTGGCCGGAGCATAATACTGACCTCTGTCAGGTGCTGGCAGCCCGTGAGAGGGAGCGGGTGGGGAGGGGCTCCCTCAGCCCATCCCAGGAGGCCCCAGTAAGGCACTCCTCACCCACCCCGACAAAGGGGTCAGGCCCTGCTCTGCACATCGGCTCTGTCCCCACCTTTTGCTGTCAGACCCCACCCCCAGCAGTCTCTTCCACGGGACCAAAGACCAGGGAGGCCCTGCAAGGCCTGAGCCCACCCTTCACTCCATTCAGGCACAAAACGCGCCCTCCTGGTTGGCCCGAGACAGACGGCTGGTGCTACCCAGCGAGCACCTGGGCTGAGTATAGGTGAAAGACGGCATCCAACTGCGTGGGGCAGAAACCCCCAGAAACAGCTGGGCCTCCCCCGACAAGAGGCCTGGAGGTGGGAGGTCCATATCCCAGGCTCATTCTGTCCTCCTGGTCAGCCAAGGGGTGGCTTTTGTTCTCGTGGTCACAAGCTGATGCCTTCTCCTCCAACTTCTCAACCACATTCCAGGGAGCAAGGTGGGGAAGGACTAAGAGCAGAAGCAGCGCGTCAGCTGCCTCTGGCCCTTTTGATCAGGAAAACAGTAATTTCCCAACAAGTCCCACCTGGTAGATTTCCACTTCCAGCTCACCAGCCAGAATTAAGTCACATCGCCGGCCCTAGTTGCAAGCTTGCAGAGGCTGTCAAGTGTTTCAGCTGGTACAAAATTAGAGTTCCAATAGAGAGGAGAAAGGATCTGGGGATGCCCATGATGTTCTGGATCGGATGAGAAGAGGCAGTAGAGCTAGGTTCTGGGTTCTGACTCTGTGCCTAAATGACCATGTGACATTGGGAACTCTGCCCAGCTGGAAAACGGCGTGATAAAGCCACTACTTACAGGGTGGCTGAATGTTAAGTAGGGAAAAGTATGACAAGTACCTGGAAGCATTTAGAAGATGTTCATTAAATGGTAATTAGTATTTTTATTAACCAAAGGCCTTGACCTAGCACAGCGCCTGCACGTAATAGGTGTTTAGTAAATTCCTAACTGATCTGTTAATCAGCTAAGAAATGCTACTGGCAAGAAGGCAGGAAAAAGACAGGAACATCTTATCTAACAGCCTAAATTGTTACTTTCCGAAGGGGGATAGAATCTACATTTGGGGTTTTGCATCAAAAAATATATCCCCAGGTGGTAAGTAAGGCAATAGAGGGGAGAAGACATACAATACTGTAGCGGCTCTCGTTAATGTTAAGCCCATGCTGGGTGGCAGGCGCTCTCCAAGCACTCTGGCGTTCTAACGTAAGCCTCCCAACAGCCCTTTGAGGTAGGTAGTCATTATCCCCGTTTTAATAATGAGGAGGCTGAGGTTCGGAGAGGTTAATGGTTGTTGAAGGACGCACAGCTGTACTTAGTAGTGGGGCTAGCATGTGACCCCATGCGCTTTACCCTTGTACTACTGCGTGCAGGGGCAGAGACAAGGACAGGCGGCCATTGTGGTGCACAGGCAGCCATGCTTCTGCCGCCACGCCTCATGGGAAGACTTCTCGGAGCCCTGCTCAGATCCCACTCCAAGGGCCCTGAGAGCAGCAAAGGAGCCAGCCTTGAACCGTGGCTTTTCTCCCGAATCCCCTCCTCCCCTCTCAGCCCCGTCAGCATCCAGCCTCTTGGGTCCCACAAAGGAAGCTCACATCCCACAACTGTTTAGTCGGCTGCAGTCCTGGCTAAAGTTCACTCCTTGGGAAATCCAACGTGGGGGGTGGTTGCTGCTGGAATGTGTGTGGCTGGGACCCAGTGTCCCAGCCCAGACAGCAGGCTCTGCTGGGGCCAGGGGAATCCGGAATCCCCAGCCCCCAACCGTGCCAGAGAATGGAATGTGCTGCTCTGGGGGGTTGAAACAGGCCTGGCCAAGGAGGTGGGGCAGTGCTGGGAGCTGGGGGAGCTCCTGCCACAAGGCTGCCTCTGTTCCCCTGGAGGCTGAGCCCACTTCGCTGGAGCTGGTGGTGGGCAGGCCTGTCCTGTTAGCTCAGTGGCTCAAAAGCTCCTGGAGCCAGCGGGAGCAAGGCAGAACAGAGGGGAGGAGACAGCCAGGACTGCTACAGTGACCCAGTTTCTCTGAGACACCCACAAGCACCTGTGGCACAGTTCACAACACGGCTCCATGGCTTACTAGCTATGTGCTTCAGCAGGTTATTTAATCTTCCTAGGCCTCCATTTACTCATCGGTTAAATGGAGTTGATAAAAGAACCAGCTGTGGGGACTGGCATGAGGTTTAAATGAGAGGACACACTCAGCATACTGCCTGCCTCAATAAATGTAGGTATTATCATGATCTCAGAGCCACCAGCTGCAGGATAGATGCTGGAGCCAGGGCCCCTCAAAAGGGCTGCCTTGAAGGTTACTTGGAGACAAAAGGGAAGAAAATGGTTATTTGTTTGGCTTCAGCTCTGAGGGCCAGGTGATCAATGACCATAAATCCTGAAGACCCCAGAAACCACAGCCAGTTCAAGGTCTGCCAGGGCTCACCAAAGGCTGCTCCCCGCCACTACCAACCCATGAGAAGGTGGACAGAAACCTCAACCCCAGCCGAGCTCAGGGGTAGTGGTCCATCCCAGGTCTATCCCAGCAGGCTCCAGGGATGTAGCAGACCTGGCTACCGTCCCCTCTCGCTGGGTGCCTGAGAACAAACTGGGAGGCATCTTTTAAACCAGGCATCCAATTCTACAACAGACAATCTGCTTTTCAGCCCCCTTCACATTGTGGACCCCAGCCAGCTGGAAGGCACAATCCAGTCCTGGCAAGTCCCTCCATGGCTTCATATTCCCAGTGGTACCTGCACTTTAAAGTGGTCCACCCCAGTCTGCTCTGAGGCCCTCACAAGGACCTCAAGGGGACAAGGAGGTGGCCTGGCCCCCTGGCTTCCCTTCTGTGAGGGCACTGACCCGAGATGAAGAAAACTGTGTTTCTCACGCCCCTGTACCCCATGTCCTGAAAGCTACTTGTGCTATAGTCTGTGTTTTCACCATTAGACATTGTTTTCATTCTCCCAAAGTAAAATATTGACTGTTTTTTCAAACTACACTCTGGCTTCATTCTTTCCTGAGTAATAATCTATGATTATTCTCTGGTTTAAAAAAAAAAATCAGTGTTCCAAGCCATTCAGGGTAGAGTTTTGTTTCCTTTCGGAAGATTGCCAGGATGACAGAAATGCATCAGCGTTTATTTAGCACTTACTGTGTGCCAGGGATCTCGCTTCCCACCTGGCGTGGACCACCTCATTTAATCCTCACAGCAGCCATACTAGGTAGAGATCACTCTGTACCCATTTCACAGATGAGAAACGCAACACAGAAAGACCTAGGGGCAAGGCCCCTGGGGCAACTCACTCCAGCGTGGCTGCAGACAGTGGTAGAGGAGGGCCCAGTGTGGAGCTGGCCCATCACAGCACCTGCCACCAGGACTCTCCCGAGCTAATGCAGGCTGCTCCTGCTTTAAGGGAAGTCTCTTCTAGTTCTGTCCTCCAGTGCTGTGGGGAAC